AACAAAAAAACAAACATAAAAATATGGATTTCGGCATAAAGATGTACGATTCGAATCGAAATTATGCAACAAACACGGAAATCAAGAGGATTACATGTGAATTCGAAAAATCTAGAAATATGTTGCCTTATGTTAAGGGAGCATTTCACCCTTTGCTTCTAAAATCGTTCGTAGTGGTTAAATAAACACTAGTGCATTACATCCCACTCCAACGGATGAGCACGTATTGTACATTATTCATTCACCTGTGGCTGAAATGAAGTATAAATCCATTGTTTGTGTTGTTGTTTCTAATTAATAGTATTACCCCCAGACAAAAAACACAACCATTTGTTCTTTGTGTTAAGGGCAGCACAAAACTTATTCAATTTACGATGCTTTATAAGTTGAAACAAGTGTATTTATCTTGAGTAATGTGTTTGAAAACACACACAATCTTAGATCTCGTTTCTAGTCTTTCAGTAAAATGATTTTGCTGAAGTAACAAAGGAATAACAGACAACCACTTTAAATACGTTAGAACCTTTTGGTCTTGTTACTTATAGCTTAAAGTACGCAATCAGAAACTGGTTAAAATTGTGTTCCATATTATTGATTTGGTTATTCTTATACTAAATATAAACAGTTTTTCCTACCTACAGTACAAATGTTTCTAATAAATTAACGGATACTTTATATTAATGCGTTGGGATAATTAATGAAATGCTATATAAACAAAAAACAATTTGTATTATAAAATGTCTGATAAATTCACTAAGTGCTACATGAAAACTGCACTACAAAAGTGACTTACATATTCACCAAGTGATACATTAAAATTGAATTAAAGAAGTGTTTCAATTTCACTCAGTGATAATATATTTATCTTTAATGAGAAAGTGTTAGACACCTTTAGTATGCGTAAGGTGATCCTGGTTGGCTAAAGTAAAATGCAGATATTTTCCACAATACTTAAATTTATGCCTGTCTATTTGATAAACAACCATGGTCACTTTTCTTAAGCTTTTCATGATTTATGATACACTAAAATTTTCATTGTGTTTGCTGAGCATTAAACGAGTCTTTTATGACCTCGCAATCTTCCATATACTTATATATCGGTTTCAATGGGTTTCTACCCATGGGTTCACTGAGGACTCAGCTGCTTTGGGAAGTTTTAAAATATTCGTGGTGTTCGAAAATTTTGTGACGTATTTCAAACTTTAACTACACCAAAACCGTAGCATTTGCGTACTTAGTGGTTGTGGTGAGTGAAGGGCACATGTATGCAGTTTTTGCCATACATCATTTGCCATCAGTACGCCTCTACATGTGCTCCGTTTGTGGCCCTCAATATTTATCTGTGTGTTGGTCAGCATATCGGGCATCACAGTTGCTATTTTATCGGTGATCCGTTCACGTAGTGTCCCCAAAGCAGTCACCTTTGTCCTGTAGACAATGTTCTTCACATAAATCTAGAGAAAAAGTCCAGAGAAGTGATATCTGGAGAGTGTGCTTATCGCAACACCTTTCTTGTGTAGCACTCTTCCAACTGTCAGTACCATTTTTTTGACATAATTCTTAACTGTTGAATCTTTTCCATACATCTTACGATATTGTCTTTGCAAAAGAATGGGCGATTTCATCTATGTTATCCACAGGACGCACATAGGTTTCTCTGTCGCCATGTTTGTTAATAATGTTATAAGTGATTACACTTAACATGGCAAAAGAACTACATGCATGTGCCCTTCATTCGCCACAAACCGTTAGTTCGTAACTGTTACTGTCTTTTCGTGATTTAAGTTTGTAATACATCACATAAGTTATTGATAGTTGCAAATAAATAATATTAGAAAATTGCTTGTTACCACCTACTATACTTTTTACGTTGTTTGTTGCCATTGAATTGTTGTAATTGCCCGTTTTCTTACATAGTTGTAAGCACCTTTTTATGTATTATCTAAATAGAATGGTGTAACCTCATAAAAAATTAACTTTAATTTACTTTCTATTTACAGTTCCAAGTGATTTTTCATCTAGTCATCGGATTCTTATGGATGATCTACTGGAACTTTTGAGCAGCTTAAAGGCAAAGTGTGAAGACAAAAGAGAAAAAACAGCGCCCCCTGATGGAGGTGTGTTGACTTAATAATTAATGTTTGTGAGTCATTGGTGCGTTTATTCAAGTTCTTTGAAATTATTGTAATTTTCATAATGAAAGAACATTTTTCTCAGGTGTCACAAAAGAATCAATTTTCGTTTGTTTGTTTGTTGTTAATTACAAAGCTTCACAATGGGCTATCTGTGCTGTGCCCACCACAAGTATCGAAGCCTGGGTTTTAGGTTATAAACCTTCAGAATAAAATAATTGCAACACACTGGCTAAGTTTAACAGACATATCGAAGAACGACTTTTCTCACCTAAAACAAATATAATTATTGCAAAACCTCTAAACAACTCATCATCATTGTTCCTTAAGTGCATGTATGCTGTCAAACGGTAATCGTAAAGTACGAACAGTAACTGGTTGTTATTTGAATCATATCTCAAAAACATATACCCAAGAATTTCTTTAGATTCAACAACTAAGTTTTATGCAAATGAGGTAAGGAACCGTGAATAAAGTAACATGTGTCACCTACTTGTAATGACTAATAATAATGATTGAATGGTGTTTTATATTTATGTTTGTTCATAGGTAAGCTCTGTTTTAAATGACAAATTTTATGTTGCAATATTCCTATAAAAACATAACGTCTAAAGAGAAAAAGTTATTAATCCAAAAATTGTGAGTTTAGTTCGTGAAGTGGCTATTATTGCAGAGATTTTGAGCCCATAAGTAAATTGGTATTGTTTATTGATCACACATGCCTCTTTGACTCACTTTATATATTTTTATTGGAAAAAAAGTTGACTTACCCCAAAACGTTTGGTATTTTCAGCCTGAATGTCCTAGTCTTTTCTAATTTATTACTTCTGACCTGAAGAAGGTTGACAAATCAATGATACTCATTGCCTACGCGGCTACTCTTGCCACTTTTATAACACTGTCACAGCATAAATTGCCAAGATTGCTCAAAGATACGTCACGTCTGAAACCTTGGACCTATTAAACCGCAGCCCTGCAAGCTTATGATTAGGTTATATGCATATCAACTAGAAAAATATGATGAAAATAATCCATAAAAATTACGAGCATTACTGTAACAGATTAAAAGTCTTCTTTGGAGTTTTTTCTTCTTCTCTTCAATTCCATTCGGTCTCACAAAAGCTTCCAGAAAGAAATATGTAGACTTTTTGAATTGGTTCTTTCTATAAACAAGAAGTTAAAACTAACTTTCTATTGCTTGCTTTCAAATTTTATCAAATTTTATTCATGACGACTGCAGAATTTAAAACAAAATTGAACAGCTCCATTTGTTCTACAATAGCTCACTTTTCTGTACGTTTTGCGACTAAAACAGGTTTCATAGACTTCGTGTTTAAAGTTTGAACCTCGAAGTATATACTGATTCTAAGAAAAAAAAATTATGTGGAACTCATTCTTTGTAAATAGTTTCCTTGTTAAAAATTTAAAATATGAAAGGTTGCTTTGTTTACTGTATATACTTCAGTTTTGATGTATAAAGAATTCAGGCAGAAGTCTGCTGTGTAATTCTAATATAACACTTAGGGTAAGAAACTAACTAGAGGAACCTGTTGACATCAGTCGGTGAAGTACTGGTTGTGTTTCTGTTATTTGTTTCGTATATTAAAGATAGAAAATTCATATATAAATTCATGTAGATTATAGATAATAATGTTATCTTCCCATCAGTTACTTCTGGCTGTTTCTTAGAGTTAGAATACTATGAATAATGTCCATTCCACCCAGAAAAGTGCGAAACATAACTTAACAACAAACATATGTTAAAAATAACTTCGACTTTCATCGGATCTATTGAGTCTCAAACTGGTTATGTCACTGGTATTTTAAATACACGTCACACATTTGTACATTTTCCTGGCATAGTCTGACTCATATAATAAGTGCTCAACTGTAAAAAAAACAGCTTAAATGTTGACGCTCTAACTAATTTGGAGTTGTTATGCGTTTGTTGTCTTGAAAGCCTCTCAAGTAATTGAAAGTTTAAAGAGCGAAATCAGTTTTATCTAATAATCCCCTTAAAGCTCGATTCCTTAGATTGAGAAATGTTTATATTACTATTTGCTGTACTTACCAGGTAAGATTGGTTTTCTTCGAAATGAGAAAAAACTGTTTTTATACCTTAGTCCTGCTGAATATGCTTGGTTATTTCTTCTCGATTTCTACGTATTTTTATGATATATCCTTCCATCCGGTTCTTCTCTGCATAAAAAAAAAAGCTTAAATGGAGCCATTTTGTTCATCTTTTTGGACATTAAGAAAACTGTTTTGGGTTGATAAGAACGAACACTATTTCATACGTTGTCTGAACTCTGTCTTAAGATTAGCTTCATATCTCCAGCTTGCACGAATTTTGCTGTGCCTTTTAGACTTCATAATTACTAAATGTCAAAATTACGTTCCTGCGTAGTTTCTGTGACGATAGCTTAGATTTATTGTAGATTCAATGTGAAGGGCGTTTCGAAAGATTGTCTTTATTAAGATGTATTTTAACTGGAATCAGAGCTCGATCAGATAAATAAAGAGAAAAGGTTCGAGTTTACTCCAACTTTAAAGGCGCTGAGAGGAAATACTTGCGTTCACTTCATAAATTACTGTCTCTTCGCTAATTGGGTGTCAACCCATGTAGATTTCGCGAAGTTTCGTTTAATGTCGAAATTGCTTCATATGCTGAAGAACGTCTTTTCTTCTGCAACCAAATTTCACCAGTTTCTAAGCAAACTAAAGCATTAAACTGATTTATCTGCTATTCTTGAACACGGTTTCATCGTGGTTTAGTTCGGCACGTTTGGCAAATCACTAATAAAGTTCCTTTTATATTGGTCATCCGGGACTGAACTGAAGTACAAAGACACTAATGTAAAACACTATGTATGGATTTTTTTAATGTTTTTACGTGATTAGATAAAACTGTTTAGGTCAGCTTTGTTTGTCTTACTTTGTTTATTGTATGAAATCATTATAATTGTGCTTAATATTTAAAACATTTGAGACTCCATGCCGACATTACCGTTATTAATTCAAAGCTTATTCAATTTGTTGAGATAGATATATATAATGCAAATAGACACATCTCTATAGTGTGACGACCTTGTTTGTATCGCAAACGACCTTGTTCGATTAATCGATAAATTACATGTACCTTTATAAAATACAGAGGTTCAGCACGTTATATTAAAACGATTTTGGAGCATAACCACGTCTTAACAGTCGGTATCGCCAGTTCTAGCCATACTCGATCTTACAAACATGCATAATAGCTCTGAATAAAAAAGGCTCTGCCTTATGGTTTCCATCTCCAAAGCACATGAATCCTCTCTGCTGCTTTCTATAATCTATCTAGTGTAGGAAGACGATGGTTTCCAAGTGCTCGTTTCAACATTTTGATTGCACAGAAATCCATAGTAGTTACGAACGCTGATTTGACCCATATATCTTTGTATACAACAGCATGAATACCTATTTGATTTTCCAGCTATTTGAGGTATGCGAAAGTTGAATGGATATGTCATGGAAGCTACTTGTGTACTCGTGACTTGTGTCGTTTCTTTGCAGACGGAAATATTTCTTGATTGCGTTGTACACAGTTCCCTGGAGCAAGTTTACGGATTTTGCCACTGGTCTTTCTGTTCGTGGATTCTTATTTGTTACAAAACGCTGTACTTTCCTTACCACGGCTGGGGTACGACTTGCTGCAGGTCTCTTACTGGATGGTCTTGGGTTCCCAAGTTAATCCATATTCCTTTTTTCAAGTGCCATTAAGTAAAAGGAATATTCCTGTTTTTGAAATCTGAAATCATCGAACACATCTTTATAATCTGAGTATATAAATATCTTACATCAGAAAGAACTTTTACCCTTCCCAAAAGTGATCACTTTTCGGTGGACTTACAATACTAAAATCCGGGGTTCGATTCCCAGCGGGAGACACAGCAGATAGCCCAATGTGGCTTTGCTCTCAAACAAACAAATGAAGTAAAAATGAAATCTCTAACCCTAGAAAGGTTTATATCAAATTGGTGTCTCAAATTGTATCTTAACTTTCCCAATCTCTCTATATTTAATAAAATCCAAAAATGTTTAACATAATAAGGCGCTTCTATAATAGGATTATAAACATGTGATTAAGAAATCTTCGTTAAAACCCTAATAAACAAAATCCTTAAAAAAATGTTTTCAAACATACTGCATATCAAATTTCTGATTTTTAAAATATAATTTTATGTCATTCATTATTGCCTTATAATGCCACTGCTCAACTTTTTAGCATACTTTATATTTGAACTGTTAGTGTTGAAATCACTTAAGTTACTGGTATTCGTAAACATAACAATAGATGGTACTATTTTCTTCTCCTACGTAGCTGATATTTTGTGAACTGATAACTCTTAAATCAGTTGCTACATAATATACAGACATATTTATTTACTAATAAGAATCGTGAATAACACTGTATATACTATGGCATCCAACATGATTGACTTCTCGATAAAGAATGTGAATTGAGATCAATATGAACATTTTAAGTACACATACATGATTGTAGCAAGCGACCGTGGCGTTTAAATATATATATACAAATCAAAGCCAAGACCTTCACTACGAGACTTGAAAAAAAACAAAGAAACTTGTCTACTATTAATCCTCAGGCCTTTTTATTACCATTAACTCATAACGGAAGATGTCTGTGGTCATATCTCCCAAAAGCGTTGGGAATATTCCATCTTTCAGACATGGTCCAAACACAGATGTACAACTAGATAGCTACTATTGAGAATGAAATTAAGGGTTAAGAGTTGAGTGCTTAAACCACAACGTCTCAAATCCTTCTGCCTTTTGCTGTTTGAATCCAGTTGTGATTCTCTATAGCATCTACTTAGTTCGATACTTGTGTTTGGATCATGTCTGATAGATAAAATATCCCCAGTGCTTTTGGAGAGCTATTACCACAGACATTTTCCGTTGTGAGTTAATGGTAATGAGAAGGA